AAAAAAAAATTGAAGAGGAGAGGAGAAATAAACAAAAAATTTGTGCGGTGTATCAAACTATTCAATGAAAACCTTTCTCGTAAAGTGATTTTTGAACAGAAACGAACGAAACCAATGTAAGAAAAGAGGTTATAATTGTTGCTGTCATTTTTGCTGTTGTTATTTCTGTTGTTGATGTTGAAAATGATGCTACTGATTCCGATGCTGTTATTCCATTTCATCAGACAGAAAAAAAAAATTGCTAAGAATTTTAGTTATTTTTTTTCTTGATATTTGAAGAAGAGAAGAAGCGGTAAAAGAAAAGGTGAAGTTATATAATCTATAAAAGAAAAAATAAACGTTAAATTTTTTATCTTGTATTTTTATTATCAATTAATTTTTGTAAATGAAGCTCTCTGGTAATTAAACTTCCACTACACTGACTGATGTTTTGATCAAATTACTGACAACAGAAACCACGAGAAGGCTCAAAACGCTGTAATATGTTTGTTTTTGTTTAAATTTTGTTGCTGTAAAAATTTTTCGCAGTTTCGAGATGACCTCTGCTGAACAAACTAAAAAACTTGTTCTTGAGATAATATGCCGTCATTGTTACAAACTACCTTAAAGATCAGCAAAAGTTCAAACTTTCTTTTATAAGCACAAAATTTCACTAAAATTTGTGTCTTTTTTTAATGCATTTTTGCTTTTCTTTTTTTAAACTACAAACTCATCAACTGAGCAAAAAACTGCTCAACAAAAAAATGAGTTTTCAAAGGTTTTATGATATCAATGACATTAACCTTTTCTAAAGCGTTACAAACAATAAATTTAATTTGACAAATTTAATTGTAAATAAGTTTACATTTCTTTTTTAGTAATTCTAATAAATGACTGCAGGAACTTTATTTTTACACTTCCAGAACTCTATAGAAGTCTATTTTTGGAGACAGTGTAATAGACAGAGAGAAAAGATAGTGGAAATTAATACCCTTATTTAATAAATCCTTCACTTCGTGAATCTAACTGTTCTAAAAACAGTGGTAAGGATGTGAGTTTTTTTGCACTTATACCATCTATTATAATCAGATGATACAGAGGGTACGTTGAACTGCTCACCTCAACTACCCTTAACATTGCTCGGTTAAATGATGAATATCGATGCAGTCTTTAGGCTGCTACTGACACTTATCAATGAATTTTAAGCTGTCACTGTGACTGATGAGAACTGCAATAATTAAAGCACTTCTGTAGTTTCGCTAGCATATGTATTTTTATTACATAGATACTGCCAGCCAAACCAAGTGACCAGGAGACTATGCATATTTATATGACAAAACACATGAATCACAGAATTTGTTTGCCTGATTCTTCTATTATTTATATTACCACTGCAATTGTTGAAAGTGATTGAGTATTTTCTGTAGCTTCGATCCAGTAAAAAAAAGTTTTATCAACTAAGAACCTCTAAAGATTGAAATGTAATAACTGTTTTCAATTTGTATGTCACCAAAATAGTGTGAAGTATATTTATATAGCGCATTTGAAATCATTTTTTTTTTTTTGCAGATAGATAAATTTAAAAGATATCGAAGCAGCAAATTATTTTTGTCTTTGCTGTTATTATAACTTTTTTTATCTGCTGCTGCTGCTACTCCGTATAGGACAGTGGTTTGTTATAGGAAGGAAGGGAAAGGAGAAGAGATTCTTCTAACAAAATGTAATGCGTTGATACTGACAGGTAGAAGAATAAAAGATAAATGGATTTTGTGAGAAAAATTTTTAACTGATGTGACTTATTAGACAATGAATAGCACAAGTAGATGATCACTTTTTGCTTTGTTTTTTCTGGCTCTCCTTGTCATCGCAATCTGCCGTCTACGCTGCTTTGTTCCGTAATACAGATTGAGTTAGGTGATTTCAATAACATTTTGTCTATACAATATATTTGCTAATAAATAAAATCAAATGCTATTACTATGAGGAAAATTAGTGGGAATAACAGCAGAAAAAAATTAAAAAGTTTCTTGCTGTTGTAAATATAAACAAGAAATATAAGAAATTAATAAAGTTGAATTTTTCTTCGGCGGTGTTTACTAACTGTTTATAGCTTGACATTTGTAATTTTCTGGTCGTTATAAAATTATATCGTAAAATTTGGATGTGCTTGTTTGAGTGATACACATGCAGATATATCTATTTGTTTTTCATCTTTTGTTCTTTAGGTATTGTTTGGAAGACGTATTTCTTTCCAATTCTTATTCTGTTTTGTTCTCTGTTCAAACTTGATTGATGAAGTGGTATATGTAGTGGTGTTATCGTAAATTCTTGACAGAAACTTGGAGACAATTCGCCTAAATTAATTGCCACCATTAAGAATAACATTTAAAAATACATAACAACTGAAAAAAATGAAGAAAAAAGATTTCAAATGACTGTTTTATGCAAAGGAAAAAAGCAATCTGTTTAAGACAGAAAAAAATGGTCATAAAAAGCCAACGTGAAAACGGCAGTCTGGTTTTGAAATACTTATATGATTTTTGCCGTTTAAACTGTATTTATCTGCAGGAGAGTCTCTGAGGCCGTTTTAGTGCCACGGTTATCGTCCTTTTCACTGATGAGTTTTTAATGTCAGTTGGTCATGAATAATGCTTTGTTTTGCTGTTGTCTGCTGTTTTTGCTGCTCTAAAAAATTTCACAGTGAGCATATTTATAGTTTCTAAACTGTATTTATTTTAATTTTTTTTATTGCTTTTGTTTTTCTCAAGATCCAAAAATCTTCTACTTTC